GAGATGACTTAATAATGTATATAGAGGACATGTAACATTGGCTAGTGTATTTTGTTCTATCATTTTATTTTGAGATTTGATGCGAACAACATATAATGTTGAGCTTGCGTGTTTGATAAGTTTGTTAAGTCTCTAGATTTTAAAGATCAATCATGTTGTACAAAAAATTGTCGTGTGTTATTGTTGAACATTGTTAATGAGCTCGATGTTAAACCATTTGTGTTGAGACAATTGATGTTTATTGTTTCTCTAGTTGTGTACGATCTCGAATTCTTTAGTCTTCTTTTGATATGAACTTTACCTATTATGGTCTTGTCTTATTTATATATTTTCTTAGCATGAAGTTGAACCTCGTTCTCTTGATCATGAGCTTCGTAAGAGTATTTTTAATAGACTCTCTAAATCAAAATGCATTTTATTAAAGATTCAATACTTAAAAATAAGCCTCAAGAAACTTTCTATTTTAGAATTTTAAATTAGAGTTGGTTTGATTTTTCAAATTTAGATAGCCAAACTCACTTTATTCTTAATGATGATGAATGCATATGTATTAAATAACATATTTCAATACTCTACTTTATAAATTATTCAAACCGCATTTAAATTGATTAATCAATTGTCATATAAAAAATTATATGAAATAAAATATGAAGAGAAATCAATAAATATTTCTTGAGAAAATCAAAATTGAGAACTTGTTTGAGTATATAAAATTTTTGGTGCTCTTTATAATTCATTAGATCCTTTTTTTTTTAAATAAAGAATCTCTTAAAATGCTCTTAATATTTTGTAATGGCCTACTTCGCCTATTTCGATACATGGACCGTTCACTATGCCACACGAGCCATGCTGCACTTACAGAAAAGGAAAGTCACAGAATTTTTCCATACAATTCACATTGGGCGTGGATGGGTGATTTTTTTGGCATTTTTTTTTATCATACATGGCTCACACGTGTCTCTTCCGACAGAATTCTGTGAACTGAAATTTTGTACAAGTGAAAATTTCCATACCACATTATTTTTGCTTACAATAGTTACCCATACTCATACTGTACCTGATTTTATCCCAAATCTTGTCATAAATTTTTAAATGTTGTTTAAGACCCACATGTAATTTGCATTTACTGATCCTTCTGAATGTTTGTTGGCGTATCTAGGCATCAGTAAATTTGCCATTAATTCAGCCTGATTTGTCGCCAAAAGTCTGTGAATTCGAACATAAACAATTACTCGGTACGGTGAAAGGCTCTACTATCAATGCTTATTTTGTCTATGCATTATAAGAGAGACGTTGAAAACTTGCAGTATTGTTTCTTCACACGTGCACCTGACTCGGATTGTCAAACAAAAAATAAAACAAAAATATTATTCCATATTGTCATTTTTTTTTTACCATTTTGAAATAATTTATCTTATTAAGTCCTCGTTTGATAGCAAATTTTTATTCAAAAAATTAATTTTTTGATCGTTATTTCGCTATTTCACTTGTCATTTTTTACCTTTTCACTCAGAGATTGAATCCACTTTTATCTCTAACGGTTAAAAAATTAATTCTCAAAATCACTATCAAACAAGCCCTAAATGGAAAAGTAAAGCATGTATTTTTCTGCTAATACGATTGACCTGAGCCACCAAACTTTACTAAGAGCTTGTTTGGTTCAGATTAAAATCTGATTTTAATTTAAATCAAAGGTAAATAATCAATATTAACCACATTTTTTATGGATCCCACAACATTTCAACCACATATTTCAAAAACTTCTATCACAATTTATTAAAAAAATTTAATTTTAATCCCTATCAAACACTCTATAAAGTTCTAACATTAACAATAGATAAAATACTTCCAATTATCTTTTTCTTTTTTAATCGAACCTCGCCCAAATTCAATGGCATTGGAAGAACATAGATAATATTATTATTTATTTGTCCATGACATCACCAATCCATTATCTTTTGGAAAGAAATAAAAAATTTTCTCTACTTTTTAATGTCAAAACTCATTTTTAAAATGAAATTTCTCTAAAAAATATACCTTAATATTCCTTGAATTGAAATTCACTACTGCGTCATCTTCATCACTTATTATAATTAAAAAAAAAAAATGCTATGCTCTTATCCTTATACTCGTCAGATAATCAAGATGGGAATGGAGAATATAGTTCATGTCCTAAACCTGTCATTACTCTTATACTTTTATTTGTTAATTATCTTATTTTATTTAAATAAATAAATTTGTAAGTAAATTTAATGGAAAATAAAGATATTTAAATTTCGTTTGCCTTTTGAAAATTCCCGTTGGAGCTAGGACGAGGATGGCTTCCCCAATGGAGACCCTTCTTTCGATAGCTAATAGCATTCTGAGATTGTAATTATAAACAGTTTAAATTATATATAGATAGAATATAAGAAATTCGGGGTGGATAAATGAAAAAATTTGTGAATTTATCGAAATGTATGAATAAAAAGTGAAAGATGGTTATCAGTTCAAGAATGTAAAGTGTCCTTGCCTTTTCAGGATAAGAAGGGGTAGAAAAAATGTCTCGAGCCAATGTTCGAGCACCAAGCGCTATGACATTGAAATAACTCATGCCATACTCACAAGAAAAGCTCGAACGATCTTTAAACAAAAGGGTACCTATACTCGAAATTGACACAGGTGGGTAGGTAGAGCTTGAGTTTCTAAACATTATGCTAAATCTATTGTCATCTCAAGAATTAAAGATAAATTTAAATAATTTAAAAAATCTAAAACTTTTTAGAACAAGTTGAGTAGTAAAAATTATAAATAAGCTTGAGAAAGTACAGCAGTGCAACAGGGAGTAACGGTAACATCTGGTTTGGCAGTTCCTTGAGGGGTAATTTGGGAATACGAGAAAAGTTAACGGAAACCTTCATAAATCAAAAAACAGCACACACGGAGAAAGCTAAGGAACAACAAATAGTGTTCTTCACAGTGGGAAGTAGGCTGCAAGTGCTTTCTCGCTCTAATATTTTCTACCACCTTATATATATCAAACACATTTCAATTCAAAGACCTTGACTTTATCTTTATCGTTCTCTCTCTATCTCTCTCTCTCCCGTCAATCACTTTTTTCTTTGCTTTTTTGACTTTAATTCCTTTACAGCTTTTCTCTTTTCTTGAGAAACCAAACTGGTTTTTTCGATCTTACTGTCGAGTCATTTGGAGAAAACCCATTTGGAATTTGGGTGGAAATTTTGGGTGTTATACTGAGCTTTAGAAATGGCTGATCCAAAACCTGAGGAAATAATTCATCCTCCAATGGACCAACTTCAAGGCCTAGAGTATTGTATTGATTCTAATCCTTCTTGGGGTATGTTTTATTACGGGTAATTAGTGATTTATTTTTTATTTTTTATTTTTACTTGTTTTGGTTTGTAAGTCTTGAAATGATTTGCTGAATTTTTGGCTGTGAAAACAGGGGAAGCAATAGCACTGGGATTTCAGCACTATATTTTGGCACTTGGGACCGCTGTGATGATTCCTTCATTTCTTGTTCCTTTGATGGGTGGAACTGATGTGAGCTAATTATATTTTGATTATCAAAGATTGTTGATTAGGAAAAAAAAAATCCGTTTAGTTATTCTTAAATTCTTATTTAAAATCATTTGCATTATTTAAATCTGAATCTTTGAGCAATAGATTCATTCAAGCAGTGTCAGTTTCAGAGTTAAATAGCTAATGGTGTTGATTGATACTTACATTCTTTTTTTTATGGGGTTTAATTTATGGTTTTAATCAGGGTGATAAAGTGAGAGTAGTGCAGACTCTGCTATTTGTTGAAGGAATAAATACACTGTTACAAACACTGTTCGGAACAAGATTGCCAACAGTCATTGGAGGTTCATGGGCATTCATGGTGCCTATAATTTCAATAATTCACGATGCATCCTTGGAAAGAATCACCGACCCTCACGACGTAAGTCACGTAAAAAATTCTTGCATTTATCTTTCTGAGGGTAGAGAAAGTTGATGCCATATAATATTTTAGAAGTGATTCTTTAATTAATGAACTCTTGTAGAGCTAATCTCCTGGCGACAGTGGGCAAGATAACAATTAACCGTCATTGACGTATTATTGTCACGTCAGCGATCAAGTTATATTTTTTTTACTTTTCGTAAGAAAAAGGGTCATGCTACTTGTACTTGTTTGTTCATACTTTGGTTTACTCGAGCCCACTTCCTCCTCTTACATGAGGGTCGGACCCCACGTCATGACCCCCACATGGGACCCGACCTCATGTGAGAGGAGTGGTAGGGTCGGATAATTCAAAGTGTCAACAAACAAGTACAAATGACTTAGTTCTAAGAAAAATGGTTTGATCTGCTAACATGTCAATATGAACGAACATTTTACGTTACACGTTTTATGGCCTTCTCTGTGCAGTTTTCATCATATCTCCTATAAAAGAGTTTATGCTTGCTTTCGTCAAAACTAATGTGCATGCTGGGGGCACATATTATTAGATCCTACTCACGACAAAATTCTTTCTTATTACCGTCTAGCACTATCTAATTTACCTTGTGAAACATGGAAAACATGCTATAATTTTCCCTCAGAGGTGACAATGTACCCTGTTTCATAATAGTTGCAGCTAAGAGTTTACTTGTTATGGTATCAATTACTTCAAGAAGGCTAAATTAATTCTTGGCTAATACTCAGAATATATTTAGATATCCCATAAGAGCTCAAAATAAATAATAAAAGTTCTTAACAATTATGTTTCTTCACATGTTTATCAAATGATAGAAACACTAATGATGTCGTATTTCCGACTTGTAGAGATTCGTAAGTACAATGCGGGCAATCCAGGGTGCACTCATAGTAGCGTCAAGTGTTCAGATTATTTTGGGTTATAGTCAGCTGTGGGCAATCTGTTCCAGGTACATTTTTATTTTAAAAGTGATAGTATTTTATTATAGAAGAGTAACATTCCCTCGAGAATCCTATAAAAAAGTTGATTTATTTTAATTCCAGATTTTTCAGTCCACTTGGAACTGCTCCAGTAATTGCACTTGTGGGCCTTGGTCTACTTGATAGAGGATTCCCTGTGGTATGTTGAACACATTTGCTTGTAATTTGATTCGCATGCTTTCTTTTTATGCGTTAACTGCCTCACTTAATTATATATTGTTATCTTTATGCACATTGATCAGGTTGGACGATGTGTGGAGATTGGCATTCCGATGCTCATCCTATTTGTTGCCTTCTCTCAGGTATTGGACTCTCTGATACTATCTTTCTGTCCTTGAAATTTGGTTCTCTTAGCTTAAGTGAAAATGTTACAATTTGCTTAATTAAGGAGTTTTATGTGTTGTCAGTACTCAGTGCACATGGATATTTGTTAAAGAAAATTTCTCTTTTCTACAATCTCTTATATAGACTTCCAACATGATTGTAAACAATTAACAGCATCAAGATTGTTAATTGTTGCACAGTACCTGAAGCATTTCCAAATGAAACAACTACCAGTATTGGAGAGATTTGCTTTTCTCATCTCAGTTACAGTA